TCTGAGGAGTGGCTGGTGGGTTTGAACTGCCAGCCTTCTGGTTAGCAGTCAAGTGCCTTAGGCACTATGCTACCAGAGCAATTGAAATGCACTATGTACATCCCAAGTGCAGCCATGCCAGCATTCAACATTGGAGATAAACACTGGGCCTTCTGAGTCACCTACCATCTCATTAAAAAAAAAAAAAAAGTTCTGCATCTTAAGTGTGAATGCATTGTTGAGAATCAAGATTTCCTACTGTCCATAGGCTTGTCATATCCAACTAACATTTCTCATCACCCTATACCTCTCAGCTGTATAAGACTATACTCACGCCTCCTTAAAATTTAATTTGTGTAGCAAATTGGTCAGGTACAAGTCAGGAACTGAATGATGTCCAGTTCTTTCTGGAAAATGGAAGAACATAAAAGAGTTATAGAGGAAGAAAGTACAAACACAGAAGATATGGATAGTGGAAGCAGAGAGAGAGTTGAGATGCTACATATCTGGCTTGGAAGATAGAGGAAAGGGCCACAAGCCAAGGAATACAAGGAATGCAACGCTAAGAACTAGAAACATACTGATTCTTCTCCAGAGCTTCCAGAAGGAACCAGCCCTGATGACATCTTGATTTTAGCCTAGTGAAATGGATTTTGGAGTTCTGGACTCCAGAACCATAAAAGAATTTGTGTTAAGTCACTGAGTGTGTGGTAATCTGTTACAGCAGCAAAAGTAAAACTAATACAAGCTTTTGACAAGTTTTTATTGTGAAATATTAGATTTAGGAAAAAAAGTACAAAATGTCAACAGTCAGATGTGTACAAGTACAGTATTTCAATAGTCTATACATGTGAACAGCTTAACAGGTTCACTGCAGAATGCATATTTAGACCAATACAATCTAAAAAGGACTGCAATATTCATAGGCTATTAATTCATAAATAACTTGAGCCAAAATGGCCCTCACTGGTAAATGCTAATAGCTGAAAACAAGCTAAAAAGCACAATACAGCACACCATAGTATCTCCTCACATATCCACATTTAAAGATTATCAGCTCATTATGTCAATACACTACAGATCCAGGACTGGGACTCAATTCCTAGTTTATACAACCTCAAAAAATTTAAATTACAAAATAAGGTCATGGAATAAAGAGAGGGTATTTAATTAGGACTAAATATGGTAAAGCCCCTAAAAGATTTTAATCTTGGAATTTATAAAGCTGAATTATTTAGATTAATTTTTAATTTGTCACCTAAAAAAATGGGGGTGGGGAGAGACTTTTGCAGCAGCTCCTTTAAGGTGTAAGAGCCACTATATGGTTCATTTTAAAATCATAATGACCACTGTGGATTGACAAATGGCATGAAACCAGAATATAAAGCAGTATACATTTTAAAGAAAAGTAATGACTAACTTATGAATTTAGCAAGTCCTGCAAACATTAAAATTCATGTTAAGAAAGCATTATCTATTGTGGTTTGAGAGTATTAAATTTAGGAAGATTATTATATAAAAAACCTCATAAAAATAAACTGGCTTAATTTTTCTAAGTCTGACTGATTCAATCTTTTGTTATCATTTGAAAATTACTCTATGTTATATATTTCCAAACTGGACAAGGAATCAGGTGGAACAGTTTATAATGAGTAATTACAGGAATAACCCGTCTTGTCAGTGGAGGCTCATGTGTTGCTAGGATGCTGAGTAGGTTTCAGTGTACTCAGCCAGACTAGGAAGAAAGGCCCAGCAATGTACTTCTAAAGAACCAGCCAATGAAAACCCTATGGATCCCAATGATCTGATCCCACTGTAGATGGGCTTACTGTAAGCTGGGGTCCAACTCAATGGCAGGTAATAATATCAGAATAACCTACCGAAATGTAAGCCACATTAAAAAGATTTACTGCAATCTTCATGTGTTCTTAGGAAAGACAATCTTTCATTTGACATTCATAATCAATGCTTACTTATAACTGAAATCTTCAAAACCAAAAATTTAATAGCAGTGTTCATAAGCGCTAAGAAGAATAAAAAACTTCACACTATATGATGCTTTAAAGTTGAACTAAAAGTCTAAACTGGTATTTGTTAATTTCTCTTACAGGCTGAAAACCAGTGGATCAGAATATTAGTAACTTCATATAACCTATTGCACCCTATCTTAACCTTTTATAAACAGTTTTAAAGATGTTGAGACAGTTTTCTTATAAATAGTGCCAAAATCTTATAGTAAATTCCAATTTATTCAATCATAGATTGGATTAAAATTATTTTTCAGATTTGCTTAAAATTTACAAATTAAGTATGGTGTACATAAATATTAACTTAGATAACCACATATATATGGAAAGCAGACATATAGATCACTGTAGAATCATAATAAATTTTAAAGAAATTTTATAATAAAAGCAAAATATGTAACTTACATAATATGAACATGAAGCCATATGACATAAAAAATAAAATTACTCTATCAGAAGTGAATTCAAATTAAATCTTTGGGGAAGTATTTTGACATAATTCAATGACCAACAGCTTCCCTTATCACACAGAAACAAACCACAAAATCTAGATATCTAAAGTCTATATGCATTGTCAATTAGTTCTTAATGCAACTTCAAACATTTTACTAGCAACTTCGATTTTCTTTTGAAATAGGCTTCTGTACATATGCATTTATATACAAACATTTATTAAACATGATTTAAAACAAACTGTATATACAAAAGACCAGCATTCCTATAAATAAAAACATTAGGTGGCAAAAAGGCACTTGTAAGTAAAAATCTACAGTAGTTTTTACAAAACAAAAACACATTTTACCTTGATACTGTACAATAAACATGAAGTCATCTATCAATAATGAAAAAATTACTAATGTTAATGATATCATATTTAAAAACATATTTACATATACTCTGAAGTTTAATAAAAGCACCATGATTCTTACCTAAATTCATGTTGATGAAAGGTAAAAACACAATTACCAAAAAAAACCAGTGTTCACCATTTTCCTTGTTTAAAAGTTTTTGTATTTCTAAATTGAAAACTGTTTATCTGAAATTAGCATAGTGTAAAAACAAAAACAAAACAAAAGACCCTGCTGCTTTGACTTTTTAAAACCGTATCTACTCTATTATTGCATGTTGCATTTTCATAAAGAGCACTACTCATGCACTCCTTTACAACTGTTTAATACTATTGCTGGCAAAAAAGTTCCTGGATATCAAATAATTAAAAAGTTACTTCAAACCAGTTGAAGTTTTATTTGAATGTTCTGACAACTTAAAAAATGCTGCATATCAGTTACAAAAGCGAATAGGAAACACACCAATTCATTTGGTGTGCAAAAATATTTTTCCACTACACAGAATTTAAGGGCTACACAGAATTTTCTTTTTCCAAATTTACACTTTAAGTAGAAACATTAAATGAATGACTACTTTCTCAAGGAGATGTTAGTATACTTCCACTTTTGTCAAACTTTTTACCCTTTGACAATGCTGCAACCTGCTTGAGTAGTTCTCTGTTTTTGGCCTGCAGAAGACAAAAACATTTGATAGTAAATACGTTTGAAGTATCACTAAGAGTTACACTGATTCTATTCAAATATTCCTTTCATTTATATAAAAAAGATTTCGTGAAACAAAACAATCCAATGAAAACAATGGTATATTAAAATCTATTTCTTTAATGATGGATAGATAGAAGGAATATTCTTGATTGGTTTTTCAGATCTCTTTGTAAATGCCAGTATTAATTTGTTATCCAAAGATACAACTGCTTATGAAAAAGGCAACTTAAGTAAAGCCATTTTAAAAAGTCCAAATTTCAGAATAAATAGGAAAAAAAGAAGCTAGGCCCTTTATCTTGGAAACAACAAAAAAATAATAGTATGTTTTATAATTAGTAAGATCAAAGAATGAACCAAGTGTTGATTTGGAGAGTATTTCCTGACAAACTGTATGGCATCTCTGATCTGGTATTTACCCTTCTATACCACAATCATAAAAGGTCATTTTTGCAAAAATATTCAAAGACTTTTTATTATTTTGCCAAAGGGACTCTTATTGATAGTCAAAAGTACCCTTTCTAATTTTTTCTTTAATTGCCATACTCATTTGGCACTGACTTTGTGTAATTTGTGCAGTTTGATATCACTATCTTCTAGTTTGGAAAGGCTTGAATTTTTTTTTTTTTTTTTGGCAAAGGTAAAAAATTTCAACTTGCCAATGATCTGAACTACCTTAGTACTTCATTTTCAAATGTACTATCAATCACTGACAAAGACACTATCATTGAGCCAATGAGCTTTGACAGCATTTAGTAAGGAAGAAGGTTAAAGGAGAAACTTCAGTGAATATTTTCATACTGTCATTGCTTTTGCCTTGCTATGCAGTTTCTTAACTGTGGGAACTAACATAATAAGGATTCCCAATGAACAAATACATTAATGATCAACTACTTTGATGTTTTGGATCAAAATGGGGAGAGCTGTGAAAACTGTTTGGAACCTGAATGCTACCATATTTTTTAAAAAATCCTCTGACTTATGGTTGAAAACCATTTACATTTACAGATTTCAACATTTTTTAATCTAGATGGACTTTTTTTCTTTTTAATTGTGATTTGGGTAAAAGTTTATAGAGCAAATTCATTTTCCATACAACAGCTCACATATACTGTCTCGTGACACTGACTACAATTTACCACAATGCAACAGCTCCCCTCTTACTTCCTCCCCATAGTTACCTCTTCCCTGTGTCCTTCCCTCCCATGGACTCCTGCTCCGAGATATCTCCCTATGCACATGCAGCCCTTCTATTCTCCCATGATTGTTCTCTCCAAGAAGTGTATCTACCTAGTGTAAATGTTCAGCTCATATGCCTGTCTTTTGTATGGTTGGAAGCCACAGGTGTGGGTTCAACTCCAGACCTGAAGGGCAGCTGGGAGCCATAGTCTCAGTGGTTCCATCAGGCTCTATCAGACCAGCAAAGCTGGTCTCCCCCCCCTTTTTTTTTTTTTTTAGTAATTTTGAGTTTTGTGCCACATTGTTCTCCCACTCTATCTAGGATCTCCTACAAAGATCCCCCTCCAAGTGGTTGACAGTGGTAGCCGGACACCATCTAGTTCTTCTGGTCTCATAGTCATATAGGCTGAGGATCACATGTTGTACCAGTCGCTTGGACTGATTGTATCCATGAATTTTTGGTTTTCTTCATTCTTCTTTGCCCTGGACGAGGAGAGACGAATCATTGCACCTAGATGTCCGCTTGCAAGCTTTTAAGATCCCTGTCACTATTCGCCAAAGTAGGATGTGGAACAATGTTTTGTGTAGTATGTTATGCCAATTGAGCTTGATGTCCCCTTTGACTATGGTCCCGAGCCCACAGGTTAGATGGACTTTCTTAATCTTAGTGATTTTACCTTCTACTCTAATAGAGCCTTTGTATGGCCAGATAATACCCTTCTTAAACATTTTTAAAGAAGTTTCATGAAATACAAAGTTTAATAAACTTTTCAAAAGGTCATAAAGTTTAATAAACTGTTAAAAGGAGTTTCATGAAATATCAACTTTTTTCAGACTCTGTGCTTCCACCCCCGTTCTCCAATCCAACATTCCCTAATTAACACCTATCATGTCCAAAATGCAAATATTCTCAATGCTATCTGGTATGTGTAAATCATATTAAATACTTGAGTGATAATGGAGTTTCAATTTCAAACTCATTTTCAAATTTAGAAAATCATCAGAAATTTGAAAGTCCTCCCCACCATCACCACTTTTAAACCAAACAGCCTGAGAAACTTATAGGGCAAATCAAGTGAGAATGTCTGGCATGTGTGAAAATCAAGTGATCACACTCATGATCAAGAAGTTTGTTACTCAGCTGACCAGTCCTTGTCAATGTGGTGGCTTTCTTCTTTTTCTTTGTCCTAAATATTAGCTGCCTATTATTTAATTTATAACTACAACAGAGCCACAGGCTAAAGACAGGACATTTACCAAACAGCAAAAATTTAGAAAACAATTTAATAAGAAGCATTAAAAAAGGATACTTCTATAAAATCGCCTCAAAGCAACTTTACTAGATCTGTAAGTTCCATTCATATAAAAATGTTTATATTGACGTATAAAATTATTTAAAAGTGAATCTTCAAGCTGTCTTCTCAATCATCAAGAAATAAACAAACAAAAACAAATTTATAAAATTCACATAAAACCAAAAAAAAAAAAAAAAACCCCAAACTGACTCCATCGAGTTGACTGTAACTCATAGCGACTCCACCTGGAGTTTCTGAGGTAGTATCTCTACGGAAGTAGACTGCCCAGTCTTCCTTCTGAGAACTCCGTGGTAGATTTGAACCACCAGCCTTCTGGTTAGCAGTCAGATGCTTAAGCACTACACACCAGAGCTCCCAAATTTCACATACCAAGTGAATTTCACATACTAAGCCACTCCTCGGAAGGAAGACTGGGCCATCTACTTCCGTGAAGATTTACCGCCTCAGAAACCCAATGGTGATCTCAATGAGTCAGAATTAATATAAGCACTCAAACATTAGGTATTGATATAGTGATTTTTTCTCATTTTAACACTTCAGTAATCTTCAACCTATATCTGTATATTCAGCTCCCTAATCATATATACTAATGAACTGCTGATAAATCATGAGAATGATGTATTTAAGAAAAATAAGCAGTATATCAATTGTTAAATGGAGACAAATTCAAATTTGTTGCATACTACTGAGTATATTAAAAATGAATTTTATCACAAAATTTAAATATATGCAGATAAATATTGGTATCCTACAAACACTTTATTACACACCATGCAAAAGTAAATCAATGAAATGACTTAAAAACTCTTAATAAAGTTATGTCAAAAAACAGTTTAGAAATGCTGATATAAAGGAAACAGTGGGATTAAAAATCACAGTCCCTGCTTTGAATCCAGGCTCTGCCACTTATCTCCTAGATAACCCAAAGTGTATCTTCTCATTGCAAAACAGAAACTCAGCCAAACACCTCAAAGTGAATTGAAGGATAATTAAATAACACAACACAGTGGTTGGTACATGGTAGACCATCATATGTTAGTACCATTTCCCATTTACCCGTTCACCTAATGAACAAGGGGCAGAATTTGTATTTGATATTCTTGGTATTTTAGATAAATTGGAAAGTTACTGTTTTTTTGTTTTGTATTTTAAATATTTTTTTTCTTATGATGTTCAGTGCTTATTTAATAGGTTTTGTAGTTCAAAATGTTTTCAGAGCTATTGTTGTTGTTGTTATGTGCCGTGAATTCAGACCTGACTCACAGCAACCCCTCCTTGGGTTTCCAAGGTGGTATCACTACGGAAGTAGATTGCCCAACCTTCCTTCCGAGGAGTGGCTGATGGGTTTGAACCACCAGTCTTCTGGTTAGCAGTCAAATGCCCTAAGCACTACGCTACCAGAGCTCCTTAAGAGCCATTAGCAAGGTAAATTCTGTTACAGGGTTCAATCCCTTACTACACAGATAAGAAATGTAATTAGCTGCATTGACTGGCTTTGGTAGAGAATCCTATTAGAGTACAAGGTGTTAAATAAAAGGGGATGGGGTAGGTTGTCGGTTTGCTGCTCCAAAAAGGTGTTGCTGGACTGCTGTGCTCTTTCCCTGGCACTGCATTCTCAGCTCTCCGCTCCTCTCTGCTCCACGATGCCAGTGGACCTCAGCAAGTGGACTGGGCCCTTAAGCCTGCAGGAAGTGGATGAGCAGCCACAGCACTCGCTGCAGGTCAAAATGTGGCAGGGTAGAGATTGACGAGCTGGGCAAAGTGCTGACACTCACCCAGGTTAAGAACTGCCCCACCAGCATTATATGGGATGGCCTTAATTCAGGTAAACTCTACACCTTGGTCCTGACAGACCCCGATGCTCCCAGCAGGAAGGACCCCAAATACATCATTTTCTGGTGGTCCACATGAAAGGCAATGACATCAGCAGTGGCACAGTCCTCTCTGATTATGTGGGCTCTAGACCTCCCAAGGGCACAGGGCTCCACCAGTATGCCTGGCTGGTTTATGAGCAAGACAGGCCACTGAAGTGTGATGAGCCCATTCTAAGCAACCGACCTGGAGACCATCATGGCTAATTCAAGGAGGCATCTTTCCACAAAAAGTACGAGCTCAGGTCCCCAATTGTTGGTATGTATTACCAGGCTGAATGGGACAACTATGTGCCCAAACTCTATGAGCAGCTGTCAGGGAAGTAGGGAGAAGCTGAGAAATGGAAACCACCTCATGGGCCCTGTTCTTGAATTTGTGGGCAGTGTTCTTGAATTCAATGATGCATGTAGATCTATCCTCTTCCCGGCTCTCATTTTTAAAGATGAGACTTGAGAAGTCAGATAGTGGGTTAGGGTGACTTTTCCTGCTGCCTGTCCTTTATAATTCCAGAAGGTCACACTTCCCAGTTTATGGTTTGATTTGATTAGAACTCCATTCTGGGGGATGTTTTGGTGCTGTGATGGGGCCATCAAATAGTT